GTCTGTCTTTTTCGAGGGTGGAGTAAAACGACAGTTCATTGCGTGAAAGTGCCTTGCCGCTTAGATTAGAATGTTGTAAGATTCAGAATTCTGACAAATTTGGCAAAATATTACCTACTTTCACAATCTATCGATAAAACTGTCGACAACAGCTACACGACTATTTAAAATTTTACGGAAACTGGCAACCCTGCAAATGTCATTTACTCTCTAAGTATAGAAATAGCGTCTGCAGAGGCCAGCACTATTACAAATATACAATATGATCGTCACTTATTTTGCATACCATTATCTATTTAATAATATCGTCTGCTTATAGGCAAAGACTACATAAGTAACATTTTCTACAAAAAGCCTCTAAACCTCTAAAACCTCTTTACACAGCTGTGGTAAAAAAAATCACAATCTGTATGAAGGGAAAACTCTTAATGACTTTTTAGCTTTTTTGCTACTGATATAGATACCTGCAGGAAAATCGTGATATTCTTACCTAAGGTATATTTAAGAGGTTTTTTGTGAAAAATGTCACTTATGTGGTTTTACCTTTAAGCTGACGTATGTTAATTGAACTTATATTATTAAAATACCTGCTTATTTATGATCATAGGGGAGACTTGCGCGTTCGATGGTGGCTTGTACGTCCCCACACATTTCATTGTCTGGTTGCCGCTCGTATCTTCAACCATGCTCACTACAATTGAAAATTAACCTTTGTGATACCTTTGTAACAAAATTTGCAATTTTAACGACAAAACTATAATACACATGTTGTTACTACATCGAGCAATAGTCGAGATCGAAATGGTGCCAAGTCTACCATCTTTATTCTGGTTTGGCTCCGTTTGGGTATCGACTACGTAGACTTTTCGTAGACAATTTATTTTGAACAGGGGATCGTTTCAGAATCTTACGATAACTCAGTCGTTGACCGATTTCTTTTCATTTTTATTCACAACATAATTATTTAACGTCAAACTGTCGTATTTGAAATCGAACCGAAATGACGTCACACCCGTACGATTACTCGAACTTTTCGACCGGCAAAGGCTACAAACGTTATTCAGAACACAGTTATTAAAAGAAAATTACACAACCCAGGACCCCGATTCAGAACTCTTCGATATCTTAACCGAATCGTTCGATTGGATATCGTTTTTGAATCGTAGGGCGCTTTCCGAGCTATTCAGAAAATAAATTAATAAAATTGAACAAAATCCAGGTTTTATTTAAAGTAATAAAAGATTTCCATATTACATTCTTGCTTTGTAAACAATAGGACGTTCGGTAACTTTCATTCGATAACTGTGTTCTAAAAAACGTTTGTGTACGAGTATTCGTACGGGTGTGACGTCATTTCGGTTTGGTTTCCAATACGACAGTTTGACGTTCGATTCGGTATATCGTACGATTTATTTTCATTTTAAGGCTGGCCGCATACATACGTTTTCTGTATTCGTTTTCCGAATGCGTAATTTCGAATTGGAATTCCGTGAGACTAGCGCAAACGTTCGTTTTTCTTCATTCGGAATGTATCCACGTCAGTACAGATAGTGATAGCGTGGCGAACGCACGACGATGGAGGACGACGATTTATTAGCAATTGCATTTCTGTTATTAGAAAAAAAGAGAAAGAAACGTCGTCGGTATTGGATACATCCACTAAATACTCGAAGAATCTATGAGAGTCCGTATTATTTGAAGAGAGTTAAGTTATGAGCACACCCAGATAAATCCTTTGATTTCTACAGGATGTCAATCAATTCTTTTGATGAACTTCATAATGGCACACGTGATAAATTAATAAAGCAAAATACCTGCATGAGATTATCTTTGGATATGGAAGAAAAACTAATCATAACCTTGAGGTAAGTTATCTTTATTTTTACATCTGAAGTTATTTAAAAAAAAAAAACAAATCTACAATTTGCCAATATTATCTTCCTCTTCTTGTCTTTGAGATTGTTCTAAATAAGTTGCTGCTTCGGTATCCTCGGCATGTTGAAGATTATCACCATGGAGATATATGGAAGGTGATGTGTTGAGATGACGTGGTGGTTGAAGCGGTGGCAGATGTGTAATAGAGTTAATAACCACTCTGGATTTGTTTGGGGAAGATTGATAATACGTGGTTTTATTTTGCGAAGAAGATGAACTAAAGATTGGCAATGGAGTTTGCGTTTGATATAACATACTAGGTGAAGTTTTTGGTACAGGACTATATGAATAACAGGGGGAATAACCACGGCTTGATGCTGGCGTTACTGAACGTTGACTGAAGTTATCATAACTCAGTGAAGAAGATGGAGATGAATTGTACCCAGTATTAATTTTTTTTACCAACTGCAGCATTCCCAATTTAAAATCAATTTTTTGATTTTCACTCATATGTTTCATAATGTGTTCTAAAGCTTAATAAAAATTTCATGTCATCGTCTTGCTACTTCTTGTCGTTTCTGATTGGCATTCTGTTGGTTTTGATGTAGGATACTGAGTATTTGGGAGGGGATATCTTTTTTGTTTCTATTTGCACGTGGAGTTGATATAGGTGATGGAGGTGGTAATATATTTGTATCCACTTGTTCCACACTGTGTTCTTCTTGGGATTCAGATTCTTGTGAAATATTATCGTGTAAATCATCGGATTGATAGTTTCCACCGGCATTTCTTTTATCAAAGACTGGTATAAGAAAATACAGCAGATCTGCATAAACATATTTTTTAACCTTTTTAGCGGCACTGCCTGTAGGAGCACTTTTATTTTTTTGGAAGTCTTTTCGAAAGTAGTCTCTTATGTGTGTCCATTTTTTCTTCGCCTCAGCACCTGAAATATAATTAACATTATTTTAAATCTCTTTTTTTTTCAGATTCCTGGCAACTGGCAAAAATTTTGAAGAGTTACACTTTGAATATTTAATGGGGAGCAGGACCGTATCAGCCGTAGTTAAAGAAACCTGTACAGCAATATGGGAAGTTTTTCAACCTTTGGAAATGAAGCCACCATCTTCAAAAGAACGTTGGCTAGAAATTGCTGAAAATTATTATAGAAGAACTAATTTTCCTAATTGCGTAGGTTCAGTGGATGGGAAACATATTCGTTTGATTTCTCCTCTACATAGTGGATCTGCCTTTTATAACTATAAACATTTCTACTCTGTTGTACTATTAGCAGTAGTCGATTCTGACTACCGTTTTATAGCTGTAGATGTTGGTGCTTATGGCAGAGACAGCGATAGTAATATTTTCAACAACTGAAATTTTGGAAAAAAGCTAACTCAAAATCGCCTTAATATGCCTGAAGCAAAACCTCTGCCGAATACCAATGACACACCTCTACCTTTTGTGTTTCTTGGCGATGAAGCTTTTCCACTCAATAACAATTTTATGAAACCATATCCGAGAAGTAATCTCAATACTCAACGCAGAATCTTCAACTACCGCCTCAGCAGATCACGACGTGTAGTGGAATGTGCCTTCGGCATTCTCTCAAATAAATGGAGAATTTTTCACACTAGCATGACGATTCCACCAGACTTTGCAGTATTAGTAACAAAGGCAGCGTGTGGTTACATAATTTTGTTCGCAGACGAGACGGCTATCGATTTGAAGATACTCTGACACATTACTTTGAAGATATACCTTTTCGTATTCCACAACACAGATCTACCAACCGAGGTCGAAACATAAGAGAGAATTTTGCTGAGTACTTTATGACACCGGCAGGGGAAATATCGTACCAATATAACGAGAGAATTAGTAATTTACAAGAATAAATATGATTTGTAATAAAAAGTATACTTAAGAAAATATCTTACCTTTGTTTTCTTTGTCCACTTTAGTGCACGTGTCCCAATCCTTTATAACCTCTTTAAATACATTCTCCCAGGCCAAATCTTTGACATCTCTTTTGTGATAGTCGTTGTCATGAATATTCCACAGACAGGGGTATTTTTCAACCGCCAATATTAATGTTTCTGCCTCACACATTATCCTGTTGCGAATTTATGCGTAACCAATACAGAGAACACATCCGATGCGCGAGTCGCGGGTGCGAAACTGAATAGAAATTTCCGAACGTGTGCGCCGGCACAAACAAAATGTATGCAAGCGCTGCGTTCCGCATGACGTCATTAGGTTTTTTCGAGTAGGTTTCTCCGAACGCGCCGGCTTGCACACGAAACGTACGTGCAGAATTTATTCCGTTCGAAAAAAAAGCGAACGTGTGCGTCAGTTAATGTATTTTCTACTGATTCCATGCGTTCAGATGTCCGAATACGGAAAACGAATTCAGAAATCGAATGCGGAAAACGTATGTATGCGGCCAGCCTTATTCACGACACCCGAATCGAACGCCAAACTGTCGTATTCGAAACCGAACCGAAATGACGTCACACCCATAGAATTACTCGAACTTCTCGACCGGCAAATTCTACAAACGTTATTCAGAACACAATTCTCGAATGAAAGTTACCGAACGTCCTATTGTTTACAAAGCAAGAATGTAATATGGAAATCTCTTATTCTTTCAAACAAAGTCTGGATTTTGTTCAATTTTATTGATTTATTTTAATGCAAGACTAATGCATTCCTATTTTTAGGCCTTTAAAGTCTTAAAAATGTATATAAAAGAATTTTTATTCTTCTTATAATCTATATCACAGACTAACTCCGTAACCGGTGGATAACGATATCGTATGCGAATCGAACGTTTAGCTCGGAATGTTCTTAATAGCTCAGAAAGCGCCCTCGATTCGAGAACGATATCCAATCGAACTGCCCTTGTCCTCATATTACTAGAACTGAATCAATTCGATACCTAGGCATTATCATAGATCAGTTTCTTACTTTCAAACCCCATATTGACTCTGTAGTACCTCGTCTCCGAAAGCTTATCTACATTTTCAGGACGTTACGGTATGTGGCTGACCAGAAAACTCTGACCACTGTTTACTTTGCCCTTTGCCAATCAGTTTTAGGGTATTGTATAACGTCATGGGGTGGAGCCTCTAAAACTCATCTCATTAAACTGGAACGGGCTCAACGAGCTATTTTGAAGGTGGGAGCTGGTCTTCCCTACCGTTACCCAACTAGTGAACTCTATAAGCTATGGGATGTGCTTACCGTTAGACAACTATTTGTTTGTAACACTGTCCTCAAAAAGCACTTCCTACTTGCATTTGATCCTAATATCACCAAGGATAAACGTAGAAAGAGCACGGTCTGCCAATCCCATTCTGTTAACACCAGTTTTTCCCAACATTTCTTCTGTTTCCTCGCTCCCTACTTGTACAACAAATTAAACACAAAGCTTTCTTTTTACGCTCTCCCAAAATCTCTTTGCAAAAAAACTGTATCCCATTGGATTAAAACCCAAAATTATGAGGAGACTGAGCAACTTCTTCTTATCCTCAAATAAAACATCTCTCATTTAGCTGTTCCCAAGTCGTAGTTCTCTCGCCTTAACACATTCGCACACTATACATTCCACACACCCCATACGTAAAATTCTTACACTCCTAATCAGTAACACATTCACCTTATAAACACTCCCTCACTCATTCTCACACTTCATATTGTGAGTTTACTTAGTGTTAAACCTTGAGAGGGTTCTTTTAAATAATAAGTTTAGTTCACTAGTACCTTTATTATTCTAAATCAGGAATATTCCACTAACTTTTATATATTTTATCCTTTGTCAAAACTTCTGTGCCACAACCAAATTGCTCAACTGCAGAGTGGAAGCCTGGTGACCCGTACTTCAGGTTTTTCTATACCTATCTCGGGCACCAGTCTCTCACAAAACAGTCTGACCAATTTTTAGTCATGTATTTTAACCTTAAGTTCCTTACTCTTATGCCTGTTTTGTGATAGAGAAATAAATAAAACTTCATTTATTCATTCATGAGACGAAAATAAAGCCGTAGATGAATTGGACAAAATGCTCTCACCTATAATAGAGGGTTTCTGCGAAACATGTGGTTGCTGCTCAGTATATACACGTGAAGGCGCCAACTTGTTGGCAGCTGTTAGAGACGGAGCTGCTGTCGTTTTCTAAAATAAAATTAGATACCGTGGTTTCAAATTCTGGTGATAGATTGGAATTTTTTAACGACTGCATTCTAGATTAATCTTACCGGCAAAGTGTCTGGTGGCGGTTGTAGTCTACTATCTGGATTATCTCCTTCCATGCAATCCTGAAATAAAACGGAAATTAAGTTAATCTTCTATTTGTACACCTCTACATGTAAGTCGTGTGATTTATTCGGTACATTTTTTGTTACTTCGACAAAAACAACTGCAGCAGCAGACAGGACAAATATGTAATATAACACGCTCGGTAGTTTCCCAAAGTGGCCCCCCAGTGGGCGCTGAAGAGTCCTAAGGGGGCAGTAGGAGCCTCTGAAGCAATTGGGGGCGTTGATGCTGTCCAGGAGGTGCTACCGCATTTGGAAAAAAACTGAATTATCTACATACACTACACTACATATAATTTTTTTTCTTGTGATTTTTTGTATAACTTAATATAAAAAATACGTGTTTTCAATTATTTTTGTGGTGGTGGGTGTTAAATTTTTTTTATCTTTTTTAAGTTGGCGGAGACCCAAAAATTTCGGGAACCTAAATATCTTTGTGACATAAATACAGTTTAACATAAACACAGCCTTTTTATTATTAGGGAAATCGTTTTCTGTGATTGATTAAACATTATGAATGTGTATACAGGGTGTCTCACGACTATGAGACACATATTTTGCTTCGTGAAGACATTATTTCATTTTTAAAAGTTCAAAGACTTAAAAAGCTGCTTGCCTCATCTGGGAATCGAAGATACCAAATGTTAAAAAAAGCATCCTGTATTTTTATAATGCGGCTCGAAAGGGCCAATTATAAAGATTAATTCCTTTTAAGTAGCATAGTCACGGAAGTAAAAAAAGCATAGAATTTTAATTAAAGGAACATCGTTCAATTATACAATTTACTTAAAAAAAAAAAAAAAGAAACTTGAAACTGCCAACCTTCGATTTCAATATAATATTGATTCCTGGACGAGGAAAGCACTTTTTTAGGTCTTTGAATGCAGTGATGTCCCATACGTTTGTATATAATTTTTTTTTTTTTTTTTAATACATGACAGGCAAATGACTCCACTCCACCTGATGTTAAGTGGAAAGTGGTATCCAAACGCGAAGGAACCTAGTGCAGCGATGGAATCCTCACTGCACTAGCCACCTCCACCCTGCCTGCCTACAATATGCCTCTTCACGCCTCGTTTGAAGGACCCCATATCATAAGAGGGAGGCAAGACATGTGCCGGATGGGAGTTCCATTTGTCAACCGTGCGGCAGAGAAAGGAGCCACCAAACCTTTTAGTACGCGATGGAATGCGGCAGGTAGTGAAACAGTGACTACGAAGGCCAGCACGCGTGCTTCTGAGCAGGAACGGGGAAGGGGGGATGAGGTTGAACAGCTCTTCAGAGCACTCACCATGGTACATGCGGTAAAAGGCGCTAAGCGATGCAACATCTCTACGCAGTTGCAGAGGTTCAAGGCGTGATGAGCCCTCTTCGTCGCCTATAATTCGAGTAGCACGACGCTGTAATTTATCCAAGGCATCGAGTAGGTACTTGGCGGAGCCGTCCCACAAGTGCGAACAATACTCAACGCAAGACCGGACCTGTGTTTTGTACAGCAGGCATAACTGGTCCGGCGCGAAAAAACGTCGCACCTTGTTCAGGACTCCGAGTTTCCGTGAGGCTGTTTTGATCACAGATTCGATGTAGCTCCTTGGATTCAAATCACAGCAGATTTCCATACCGAGCAAGGTAAAACTGCTCTGAGGTGAGACTGCTGTGCTCATCAGAGAAGGCATGGGAAGGAACGGCGACAATTTTGTTGTTAACGCGCAAATCTGTGTTTTCTTGGCGTTGAACTCAACAAGATTTCTAGATCCCCATGCAGAGATGAGGTCCAATATCCTATTGAGCTCACCGACAAGATTAGATCGCTCTCTGTCAGTATCGGCGCGCCCAGCTGCGGGGAATCCGTGATATCCCCCATGAACAGTGCTATCATCTGCATAACAATGAATATTCCCAAGTGGAAGCATATCATTGATATGCAGAAGGAAAAGCGTGGGAGATAGGACGGATCCCTGCGGTACGCCGGCGTTCACATTCACGAACCTCGAAATGCTGCCGTCAGAAACGACGCGAATTCTCACGAAGGAAATCGGCAATCCAGCTGCATAACTGGGCTGGCAAACCGTACGCCGGGAGCTTGGAGAGAAGAGCTTTGTGCCAGACCCGATCGAACGCTTTGGCTATATCGAGGCTAACGGCCAACGACTCGCCACGTTTGTCTATAGCCTCACCCCAAATATGCGATAAGTACGCTAGAAGGTCACCCGTTGATCGTTTCGGACGAAACCCATACTGCCGATCATTAATTATGGAGTGATCTTCTAGGTATTGGGTCAGTTGTTTGTTAAGGATCCGCTCTAAAACCTTGCATATTATGGAAGTAATGGCTATGGAACGGTAATTATGCGGGTCTGATCGGTCGCCTTTTTTGGGAACTGGTTGCACATTAGCCTCTCTCCAAGAGTCCGGCACACGACTTGAAGAGAGTGACAGACGATACAGTCGCGTTAGTACGGGGGTCAACTCAGCTGCGCAGCTCCTAAGTACAATCGCTGGGATACCATCAGGACCACTAGCTTTCCGGACGTCGAGAGACTGCAGCTGCGTACGCACATCGCATTGTCTGATACGAATATCAGACATCGTGTAGCCACAGTGAGGTAGAGTTGGTGGCTGTGCGTTACAGTCGTCGAGACAGGAGTTAGCCGCAAACAGATTTGCCAAGAGGTCGGCTTTATCTTGCGGCTTGTGGGCTAGATTGCCGTCAGAATATCTCAGCGGGGGCAGCGAGGGTTGGCAGAAGTTCGACGCAACGGCTCTGGCCAGACGCCAGTAACTACGACTACCAGTGGGATGCGTCAGGAGTTCTTGGCCAACTCGTACGACGCGCTGAGCATCCGCTCTGATGTACGCTCTTTTGCAAGACCTGGTGGCATTATTGTAGGCTGTTTTAAGTGAGTTCGTATTGGGATCGTCTGAAGCTCGACCCTTGATCCAAGCGCGGTATGCAGTCTGTTTGTTCTCAACAGCCACAGCACACTCGCGGTTGAACCAGCGGTTGCGCCTCCCTTTACTGACGACATCCGAATGCGGGATGTAGTATTCCATCCCGATTAAGATCTCATCAGCAACGGCAGTCGCGCTAGCTGTTGGATCCACCTCACTAAAACAGCGCTGCCGCCATGGAACGGATGCAAAATAGTCCCGCATACCGTCCCAATCTGCCGACGCATAATGCCAAATGCGGCGTTTAGCCACAGTAGGTGGTGGTGGCAGTAACGTTGCCACTTTAGTGGATATCAAGCAGTGATCCGAAGTGCCCAGAGGGGCTTGGACCTCCACCCGATATCCAGCCGGGCGAGACGTCAGCAGAAGGTCCAACAAAGAGGGCGCGTCACCAACCCTATCTGGTATCCGGGTGGGCTGGTTTACCAGTTGGGTTAAATCGTGTGTGAGAGCGAATGTGTGGGCAGTTCTTCCAGCATGGTCAGTTTTAGAGGAACTTAACCACGACTCGTGGTGAGCATTGAAGTCCCCTAAAAACACCAATTCCGCTGTAGGAAACTGCGCCTGCGCGTCATCTGCCGCCCGAGTAAGGTGGTCTATGAGACGAGTTGTCTCCATGTCGCCGTGGTGGGATCTGTAGAGGCACATGTAGACACGGCAATGACTGCCCAGGTCAACATGTACCCCAAGGATGGAGAAGGAGGGGTCCTCCAAATGACGCAGACGGCGACAGCAAACCTCTGCCCGGACAAACAAGCAGACCCCAGCTTTCGCTTTGAAGGACTCTTCAAGCATATAGCCAGGGTAATTCAAGTAGCTGCTGTCAGCCGGGCAGAGTATTTGCGTCTCCGTAAGGAACAGCATTTCTAGTCGAGCCGTCTCAAGATGTTGGTGGACGGCGTGGATGTTACTGTGGAGTCCTCGAATGTTCGTGAACTCCACCTTAAAGAGCGTTTTAGTGGTGGGGGTGTGCACCGCTGTACGACCGAAATTTGTACTTTGCGCTAACATGTTGGAGGGAAAAAGAGGCGTGAAGCGAGAAAACAGTGCCGCGAAACAAGCGGTCAAATCGCGGGGCCTGCTTCCCCAGAGACTTGCCTACAGACAAGTTGCGCTGATCCGCCGGACGGAAGGGCCCCCGAACCCCCCCGGGAATGGCCGCCGGGACCCCAACTGGTCACCAACCGGCACGACGAACCACACCGAGATTATGCGCGGTATGGTGAGGCAGCCTCACGAGCTGGTTAAGTACGCTTGGGCCCATGTACTGTACCGCGGGCGGCCAGCGGAACAACCGTTTCTACGGGTCTCCCTGGCCGGCGGGTCAATGCAGTTGTCCTGGCACTGGTTCGGCGGAAGCCTCCACAGACCACAAATGTCGCGGCAGCGTTGCCTCGGGCTCTGGTTGTACGCTGACTGATCCCGGAACGCATCCGACTAGCGAACACTTGGCGGGTTTTCCACCATGCGCACGGTGGTCACTAACCAGCCGGGTTTTCAAGCCCTACCACCAGTGGAGCAGCTGGTAGCTCAATATTCCTTAGTCGCCTCTTACGACACCCACGGGAAGAGAGGGGCGGTGAATTGTATTCTAATCCGTCACCGCACGGTACGTCGGCTTAAGTCGAACAGTGGATGCATTCAAGTTATATATGTATATGAAAGTATGACATTGTAATACACATTTAAATGAATGTAGATAACATTATTGATTTGTTACACCAAGTAAAAGGTTTGAAAAGACAAACCTGGCCCCTTTGTTGCGTACAAATAGCGTAGTGCTGTGACCAGTGCGCGCGCTGGCACGGATAGTCGCAATACGACGTGTTCCAGCAGCAATAGAACTGTGCTTCTTGGCTGCAGTTCGCACACCTGGAAAATGCAAATTCATTACAAATCAACTGATACATCTATACGAGGTGTGTAAATTAAGTAATGGGACTTGACAATTAGAATTAAAAATTTAATATGCTCTCCTTAAAAAGAATGTCCTTGGGATGTCACGCAATGCTGGAGAAGATTCTTCCAATTCTCATATCAATGAGGGAAATCAGGTATTGGGATATAGTTCAGCAAGTTGGTTAGGATCGCCAAAAGAGCGTATATGGGGCAACCTGCGGGTCATCGTCTAACGGGCCGTCCGAGATATCACTGGAAAGAAGGCGAGTCGCTAAAGACCTGGTGCGGAATGTGCCCGAACAGTCGATTGACTCGACTTTGGTATCGGAGGCCCAGGTACACTTCGAGACGCTGAACCAGTGAAGTAAGTGATGAAAATAATAACTATAATCCAGTTTCTTTAGCTTCGTCATTTTTAAAATGTATCAATTTTCATTTAAAATCCATAAAAGAACTACGGTATAAAAAAGGTTAATTTTAACTTATCCCCGTTTGTTACCTACTTTACTCGCCAGAAGCCCGTTACATTCGGCCATTTTGTTTTATATCTATGAAACAATTTATGGTATTAGAATGCTTAACGTTCAGTCTCTTCCATTCCGATATCGGTTTGTTAATTAGTTATATGTATTGGGGGTTGATTTGTTTTATCATTTACTCTATTTTTTGCCAGAAATACCATTTTTAGGTTTGACGACTCATCGCATTTTGAAAGTGACGGATCTGCTTAGTATTTATATTATCATATTTGTGTATTATTTATTCTTTGAAAAAAATAAGGGCAATATATTTAATTATTATGTTTCATTACTAGATAGATAGAAACAAACATTTACAATCACTCACACAAGGTATAACACACAAGCAGACAGAACATAAATTAGTACACATTGATATAAAGAAATACTGTAAGAAAAACAAAATTTTGTACTGATTTTTTTTATTATGTCGAGTGGTTATACCTGTTTAAAACAGTTTGTGCTTAAATGGCCCTAACTCAGCATAAATACTGTAGACCGTGAGAAGTCAAACAAGTGCTGGTTTTCTGCCAGTACCGTACGGTGAGCGACCGCAACCCAGTAAGCCACGCCACCAAAGTGCATTACATGCAAATACATATACCTTTAAAATTATATATGTATCAAGTATGATGAATGTGGTTCGTACCAATGCAAATAATGTAAGGAGTGTAAGTAATACATGTAACGTAAGTAATAAAAAAATGTAAGTTATAACTATGTTATGTGTAACTAAAAACGCAAATTCGAGACCTGGTGGATCGAGGGATATTTTCCTCGTGTTAGATCTTTCTATTTAACAATTATAACAAAGCGGTGGAGCTATTTCACAAAAAATATCTAAATCAATAATAAATCATAAAAGCTACATCAACGTCAACTTGTGCTAACCGGAAAGTTACCGGCTGAGCAAGAAGGTTCATAAAATCGGTTTATTCCCAGTCATCATCACTGGCTTTGTTCCCACTGGCGACAAATGGGAAACAACCCATATATTACCAGGTGGTGACAATGAATAAAAAGATCTGTCGTTGCCACTGGCGACAAATGGAATATACAATCCCAATTAATGTTTTATTGCCGCCATCGAAACGGAATAAAATAATCCAAGAATATTGGAATAGCCCGTTTATGATGTACCGAAATCGAAACAACAGCCAGATTTGAATTTCACACACACACTATGACACAGCGCTATGGATTGTCCCGAGCCTACGTGTTAGCCTTAGCTACGCCAATAAGTATGTAATAATGATGGCCAACCTAGTGGCAAGACCGTTCATTTTGTATGTACATACAAGGCTTCCGGTTCTGATTCTGAGTAGTGGAACATATTTGAAGTAGATAATGAGAAGTACAAATAAATTACCATTGCTTGGTCTTGGTGATTTTGACAGCAGTCTCGAGCTCGACTTGTGCAGCGCGACGCGTCTCACTCACCAGTCGCGACTTCTCTTTCTCGAACGACGATCGCATCTCTACCATTACTAATTCTGACAAAAATCGAACAATAAATTGAGAAAAGTTTCATCTATAATAAGATCTAATTTTCACTTAAGCAATAACTAGATATTACACATAACTACTTTAAATACATTAAAGATGTTCAAAAATATTTTAACGTCTCACGAGTTTAAAGATATCGTAAAGATGTAGACGTATACTTCGTTTCAATCAATTTTAAACAAAAAGTAAACAAACAAGTCACTGACCCGACCATAGACGATTTAGTGATGACCAATTGTACTGCCAGCTACAAATCGATTAATTGAATGACTCGATTTCTTGAATTGAATCAGTTGGAATAATGGTTTATTTTGCGATTTTGCTGCTGGTTACTACCAAAGAGATTAATTGAATCAGTTGGAATAATGGTTTATTTTGCGATTTCACTGATGGTTACTACCAAAGGGTAGAGTAATAAAGGAATGGAAAAGAGAGCCCTCTGGCGTTACTACCAAAAAATGTGTGATTCGATACTGAGTAACGATATTTCATACATAGAATTAGAAAATTATAATATAATCTATACAACTAGTGGTTTTTCTTACATAACCCATAAAAGCATATATAAAATTTCCGAAATCTTCGATCCGTGAGACTCAGACGTATTAACTAAAATAATGGATAACTCACGTATTTAAGTCGAATTTTTGCTCGACATATTTCGAACCAATTCGTGGTCCTTAATCATGAGATTCCGCGGCAGTGTGTCGACGGAAAAATTGGTTCAAATGAATATTGTTAAAAAAAAGTGATGAGATATCAAGTCGAAACCTTCAGAATATAAAGTGTTACTTACTCGATTTATTGAGTGCTTGTTTTAGTATTTTAACCAAACCGTTTTGTTTACTTTTCGTACCTAATGGATTGGAACAGACTATAGTTTAACAGGCTGCGCAAAGATCAGCATGACGAGTAAACTCTGCTCTGCTCTGGTGAAAATTACATTATGACGGACCAAATAAAATAAATAAAACACAAATAGGGGCTCCGCGGCTTCATACCATAATTATGCTTGATCTCCTCAATCTGCTGCTGGTGGCGCCAGTTGCTCTGTTCGAGCTGCAGTTTAAGCATCGTTAGTTGCGTCACCGGTTCCTCTAGTTTTTCCATACAGTCCTCTAGCAACGTGCGAAAGAAATCTGTCATCTGTAAACATATATATACATGCGAAGCGTTAATAATATGTAAAGCTTTGTTTTTTATTATAATGAAATTAAAGGAGATGGTGCGGAATTTTTTTGTTGTTTTTTATAAGAAAAATATCTAATACGAGGATCGCCCTGTTTCCAATAAGTTTCACCTTGACAACGTTCTGGTTGAGTTTGGCGGTAAGCGGACCGACAGACGACGGCGGCGGTATTGTTCCCACAGGAGTGTTAGGGTCCAAAGGATTCATCAACGCCGGACGCTGCTGTAATCGAGGAGGCTGTGAACAGGATGATGATAATATATAACTTGAAACGATAATTAATTAAACTCGCATCGCGTTATAAAAACTTGTAGATTGTAACGTAATATTGTAATTTATCGGCTGACTAATAATTAAAGGTAATCTGTATATACAATCGTATCGAACATAGTAACTTACCTCGCCAGGCAGGCTGTTTTCGGTAGTACTCCTGCTAGGCTGGGCTATGACAGGTGATACGAGTGCAGGCGGTGCGGTGGGCAGGTTAGCCGGAGTGGTCACACTTGTTGCCGGAGCGATTGGTACTACAGCTGGTGCGGACGCTCGCTCGGATAGACCGTTCACTACTGGGGGAGACGGCGAGCCCTGTAACATTCCATAGCATAATATCAATTACAGTCACTTGCTTGACTTTCTATAATGGTTTCTCTTTCCAAAATTGTTTTGGAAAGTTTTCAGAGACAATGGCAAAAGTCCAGGCAGTATAGCACTAATTTTGAGCGTTTAGCGCGTGAAGTGGAAGACGTCGCCACTTTGTAAGAGTAATTGTCTAACATATCGACTTACTTATTTCGGGTTAGTGTCGCGAATCAAACTAATAAACAATGGGAAGAAAGGAAATTTATGTAGGCGGTACTTACATCAACGCCACCAACAGACATCACAGGTTGCAAACTGAAAGTCCACTGGCCATTCACAGTTGTAATAAGCGGCACAGTGTGGACAGTAGTAGGCACCTGGCCAACAGTGGGTATGGCTGCACTGCTGCTTGGTGTCGAAGTGGATGTCGCCGTTGAGTTGGCTAGGCACATCGCTGGGACTAGAGGTGAAGTCACTGTGTTAACTGCGTTATTTGCTGCAGGAAGAAAGTTCACGTCAGAAAAATTCGCCTTATTGACATACCACCACGAACATTTGTACAAATATAGTTACCAGTACTAGTGTTGCCAGTTGTGATGGTTCTTGACACTGACGCATTAGAAGTGGGTCCATTGGTGACTGGTCTTTGCAAGCGAATCGGCGCCTGCGTCATTGGCGGCTGAATCGGAATGTATACCATCGAGTTTTTGCTATTCAATTCCGACCGCCCGTCGTCCGGTTTCTTTGGCTGCGGGAAAGTCTTTTTCGCTCGTGGTCTTACCTCAATAGGTTTGTTAGGCTGGTTCGGCGTCATCATCCTAGTGAGTGGCGTCACTACAACCTTATTTATCCTCACTTCCCGCAAATTTGTCGGGTTTACTGGTCGAAGCCTAAATGCATTCATTAAATCCATTTTTTCCATGTGCCTCTCTGGATCGTCATAATCCATCGGCTCCGCTTTGATTTCCACTTGCACGTTGCTGTTATTATTTGGTCTCGCCTCAGGAGCTGAAGCTGGCGCCGGCGGCGACGTCATGCGAGCGAACGCGCGGACGCCAACTCTGCCCACGGGAGGATCAGTCTCGTTTCTCAATTTCTGCAATTTGTTTACTGCTTCTTTCATATTGCGAACATTGTCCGTACTGGTCGGTGTAAAAATGCTTGAATCGGAAGTGGCTTCGACGGTGGTTTCTACAGTTTGTGCACTATTGCCTTTACTTGTGTCACAAGTCTGCTCAGACAAACTCCTAACATTACTAATAGTCGGTAGTGAAGAACTGCTGGCTCTTGCAGATTTCCTCGCGATAACTGCCAAGCTGGTATCATCGTCGAACTGGATCCGCTCCTTTATTGTCCCGGAACTATCTGAGCTGGTTGCTCTGCTTTTTACAGGAGGGCTCTTTTCCGTGGTTGTTATTTCAGGTTCAGTATTCTGTTCCCTGGAGTTTGATTTCTCCTTATTGACACTATCAGTTGCCTTTATAATTTTATTTTCTGCAACACTGGTATTTATAGATTTGTTATTTTTAGAATTTCTGCGTTTTTGTGACTTTCTATCATCATGGGGTGTAGTTTTATCTTTGTCAGGGGGTCCAGATTTCTCAGATTTGACTTTCTGTTTCGGTGGCGTTTTGACATTGTCCTTCTCTTTCAATAAATGGACATTAATATCAGTAGGTTTTGCAGTTTTCATTACTTTGGAGATAGATATAACTTTGATTTTTTTGCCTTTCTCATTTGACGAGAGCAACGGTTCTTTAGAGTCTTTACATTTCGCTAGGACAGTTGAGCCATCCTTGGGTTTTTCTCTCTCTCGTTCAGATTTAGCTACTTCTATTTTAGATTTGGGTTCTTTGGTGTCTGATTTTTTGTCTTCTGTTTTCACGTCGACTTCGAGCCTTCGTCTCTTTTCCTTTACAGGTGGCTGTATGCTGTCGAGAATTGTGAACACAGCTTCTTCTAAATCGGAACGTCGACGCTTTCTTGAAGTTTCATTTTCTATACCATGAGATTTGACTATTTCCACTGATCTGCAACAATTCACAAATTTAGATATACCTTATCGTTACTTACTCAGCTAGTTATGGTGTCTTAAGGTATGTTACTAACTTATCCGGTTTATCTTTGTCTATTAAACTGTCATCCTGTTTGGTATTTTCGGAGCCCATTGACATTTTCCTTGATGTGTCGCCGGACTCCTCACTTTCACTTCCTTCTCTGTAAATTAAAGAATTGGTGAAAAGGTCATGAGAGGCTAACAAAGTACCTATAATAAATTATTAAAAGTAGTTTAAAATGTTTAGGTATATGTACTGAACTAACCCATCATGAAATGAGCACTTAGAACTCTTAGAATTTGACCTGCTTTTAGTTTTGACGCTGCCTGGAGAGGCGTGACCTGTTTTATCTTTAACTGGACTTCGAACTTCGCCCTCGAATGTTGGAATCTGTAAATAGAACATTGATATTCTCAAAAAACTATCTGCACATATTGTTACACTTTATAACGTGTCTTAAGTATAAATATTGCAAGACGTATTAAAATTTCTTATAAAATCAAATGTGTGTAAGTTAGCAGGTTTTTATTATTTCTAAATAAGTGAGCACTAGTGGTCAGATAATTGAATGCTTATTTACCTACAATTCGGTTGTCGTTAACGTGGAATGGGATTTTGTATTGCAAAAATTCCACGACACCGGGATTGACAAAATTATTAAGCATAAAATTGAAGAAAAATAAATGTTTAAATTATTTATAATTTTATGTAACAAAATAAGTAAACATTTCCCATATATTATAGCGCGAAACGTGTAACAACTTCAGATATAAGAGAAAACTATGATGGTATTACTAATTTAGTGCTTAAAATTTGTTATTTCTAGCTATTCACAGTACTGAGATCCAGTTGCCATATTGCTGGTCACCATCAGATCTTTGAAGATTTGTAGTTAGCCACAATCTTATGTAATTAAAATATAAATATCGTACATTCCGACTTTAAAAAAATTTAAATACCTGCTTCCATATTGCAACAGCAATTTGCGGGTAAAAGTGAACTTTAGGTATAAAATCATACGAATATTCGATCACTAGTGGGCAGTCGACTCAAAAAATAAATAGTGAAATTCTTACCATCATTTTAATTTGCTCATTTAACCTGGTAGGATCAAACTGAGTTTTGAACGGAGGATATACAAATTTCCCGTACTTTCGGGATATGTTGCGAATATGTTGTTCTGCTTCCTGGAAAAACATGTATTGTATTTTGTTAACGACCTTCAGTCATCATTGCTATTTCTAAAACATCCATATTATGTTGTCTATCTATGCAAAAACAACATTTTTTAAGATTATCACAGCTTGTCTTCATTTAATTACATAACATTAACATTACAATATTACTATCCAAACGATTATGATAAAGCATCTCTGCAAACAAATAGTGGTTTTTGTAATAATTTACTAAAGGACATCTGTACCTTCATAGATCTTACCTGCATGCTATCCAATATATCTTGTCGCTTAGTGCGGAAGTTGTTAGGATCTTTCTCGGAGTAGAGGAAGCAGTCCCGGGCAGGTACCCAGGCGCGATCGTGTGCTCCGAAAAATCGAACGTCGACTAAGCCTGAGGTGTTCACCGTCATACCCTTCGCCGGCCAGTACGGGAAACCTGTTTGACAAAATATAGCCACAATAAATTTTGAGACATCCACTGGAAAGCACAGCAGGTGTATGACGGCGTGCAATAAATCCGAAACACTCGCCTTTAAGTTTCGCCCAAAGGAGTATATGTGGCGTCGAGCAAACATCAGTAAACCAGGTTGGACGTCGGGCATGGGCCGCAGCGTAACACTCCGGACAGGCCTCTATCTCGCCCATCTCGGCTCGACATGAACGTACTAAACCACGAGCCGCAGCCGTCAGTTTTGATTGCACTGAAAACATAAATCATATTTGCAAACCTGTCTTGGATTGACAATTGGTAAAGGTTGGCAAAAGTAAATAAATAGCCAGATCACAGTGAGTTGCTATACTTTACAATGCAATGATCGCTAAATGAAAATTTTACATAACTTTATATCATGATTGATGACTGCGAATGACTAAGAACACATACAAATGGGAGTTGAAAATGGTTCAATAGCAACATTAAGAGTTACTTACTAAAAGCATGTTTATTTATCAAAATACGTTTTTGAGCCTATTCTGTAATTTTGCTAATTTAAAAATAACTAATATGTATGCCTTTCTGAAGTATGCAAAACAAGAATTCCTGAAATGGATTGTGTTATGCAATTAAGACTTTATAAAATAAAAGTGTAACAGAATTGGCCCAAATTGAATACAATCGCTTTGCTGATGGTTAACTATGTACATGTAAACAAATGTCATAATAATATTAATGTTAGCTGACGTTTATTCCACGCGACATTTCTAAACCTGTTAGGACAGATTTAAAATTATTATTATCCTTTTCACTCTCTTCCTGAATAAAAGAAACAACACTATCGATAAGACGGTGAAGTTAGTGTGTGTTTACAAAATAGCATGTAGTGAAATCGATACCAATCTTTATATCTACATACAAATGTGAAAGTGTTAATTTCAACCTTTCAGAGACAGAAACGGGCTGTGGCGGCCTTTGTTGTTTCTACGCGTGTCTATGAAAGGAAAACAATCAATTAGTTGGTTAGTTTATAATATGTTAGTTAGTTAATGTCCACAAAAGCGCAAGCAGAAATTGAAATAAAAATAGAACCAACAGTTCTCACATGTGTTGAAAATGATACTATTATGGAGTATCCATTGCGCATCTGATAGAAACGCTTCAGTACTGCCGTACATGCCGTCGGAAATATGCTGCTTCATCAGCGTTAGGTCCATCGAGTGAACTACGTATTTATCGTAGTCAGGGAATAATGTTCTGTCTACTGGATGCATGAATGGTTCCACCTGTAAGACAGAAAAATCTTCATAAAGATACAAGTAAATATTCGATATTCAAGGTCAAGGTATTGGTTCTGAATTTTGGTGGTTGGCCTGGTATGCTTTGGTTGCTATTGTAATATACAAGGTACGGAAGGGGCGGGCTAGACCTGCGGCGAGTAGTCGGATTTAGATTACAGAGTACGCTTATGCTCTTCGTTGGCACAGCGGTTAGTACTGGGCGCTTGATGAGGAGGTTCCGGGTTCGATTCCCGATTTGGCCAATTTAG